TTAGAGTTTATCATGTTTCATTGAGATATCTCAATTTTTAAGAGTATAAAAATTATGGACCGTAACTGTCCTCCATGTCCAGCAGCACCTCTTGCTTGACAAAAGCATAGAAAAGTCTTGTGTAGCGAAGTCAGGTGACCTTGGGGTCCGGTGGAAGGTGGAGTTTCTTGATACTGTTTTATTAATTTTGGTTTGAGCTCCGCAATGACCGGTTTGGCTATGAGTTGTGTGATGAAACTGCGTACCGAACAGTGACTCGTTCTGGGTAAAGTTCAGTGTCTACGATTATTTATGGATTTGTTTCACTCCATATACGGCCATTTTACTTGTATTCATTTTTATCTCGATCAATGGGGGCCTCATCAGACAATAACAGGCAATACTTCTATATCAAGTTATTCCGGAAAATATTCACCGTTAATAATCTGCAAACAAATTTTTGTTCATTCATACCATTCCAAAGATACTGAATTTTTTGTCCACCTACGGCTTTTAAAACATGTCACATACTTTTCAAATTTTATTTAGCGTGAAGAAGACTTGAAAAACTTCAATTGTTTAACAAAAAATTATGTAAAATATTCTTATTTAAACAAGAGGGCAATGAAGATATATTTTTAATATAGCCCGAACATTTTTCCTTGACTTCACAAAATTTCCCCGATTTATCTCCAATAGTTTATGAGAAAATAATTTTAAAATTGTATCGACCTCAAAATAATAACTTTAGCAAAAAAAAAAAATTTGGACGAAATATTAATATCAGCTACTGCTAATTTTCAAAATTGGTGATTTTGCGAAATTACCCTGGACCACTTCATCTGGCTTGACTCATTTATAATATTATGTTATGAGATTGCAAAGTGGTTTTCCCGCCGATATGATTGRCACGCAACTGGCTGAACATCAGGGCGCACGTCACATAAGTCCCAGCGCTACATACATACATACTAGATTCCCGAAAGTAATTTTAACTGTAACTTGTCACATATTTTAACTGAAATCGTAATTTCTAATTTCGCAAATTGCACGCTCATTGTATACGTTTTAATGTCATTGTAATTGCTTAATCAGGCGTATGCACAAAATAATATTTATGCCGACGAAAAGATGTCAACGCTTTGCAAATTGAAACACTGTGTTTTATTTAGTTTTATTTAATTTTTTGTGCAGCGTTTTAAGTGATTTCCGCTCATTAATACTTGCAGCCGCTTGATTAAAACGCATTTGCAACAAATTGCTTATGTTTTGCGTGGGTAAATAAATCACGCTTACACATTCCTAAGCACACTTAAATATGTATTGAATCAGCACTTATGAACATTAAATAAATTGCATTTCTACGCCTGCTCCATGCGAGGGGAGTGCGCCGTTTAGCGTGGCCTTTGAGCTCTTTCACGACCCATTTCACCGGCACAAACCGAGTGGCTTTTAAGTGATTTGTATAATTAGAGCGGCGAAAGTGTGTTAAGACTTATCCTTGACAGCATCGGCTGCTGGTGGTGTGGGGTGAGGCGCCCGATGAAATGAGTTGGGCACGCCTAGGGGTATGCAACAAATATTACATATTGCATATATTAATTCAATTTCGTGGCGGTTGATTTGTGAACACGTGTATAGTTTGTCAACTATTTGTTCACAAGCTTTTAGTGGCGAAAAAATTGGCATAAATCTTTACTGCTAACTGACATATATGGTTCCCTCAAGGAAATTTCGTCCAACAAAATTCTTTCTACTTTTGTCTGATAAATAAGGAAATCATTTTGTGACGTAAATGTGAATACGTGCTCTTCCTTTTGTATAACACTTTTTAGCTAAATCTTTCTGTATATGCTTCAAATGAACTACTGCTTACAACAAAAATAAGCGTCAGCGAACAACAGCCGAGCCAATTAAGTAGACCTCTTCGTAGCAAAGATTTTTAGACTACATGTATAGAACAAAAAGATTTTATTACTTATTTGATGAAAAAATATATGAAACAAGAAAGGAAATACTAAGGCAAGAATCACAGCGGGGAAAATAGCTTCAGGTGTTAGCAAATCCTTTTATATCACAAATTGTTATGTAAAAATTCAAGATTCATTGTTCGATGCAACCATGCATGGAGTACATTCTGGGAACATGGGCAACGAAGACATTTTTTTGGGCATCAGAGATATATAAAACCTCATTATGTTCACCTAGTTTGATAAAAATATCACAAAAATCTGAAATCATAATGTCGGAATATTAAAAGATTGAATTGTATGACTCAAGTGTACTCGAGAAGGTAATTTTATGAAGATAATACTTAGTCTCGACTTAAAATCCGCTAGAAAAACGATAATCAGTAATTAATAAGGGAGCTGTGATACTTCGGTTTTTTATTCATCCCATATATTTTCGTGACAAAGCCATTTGTTATAAAATTAATCCTGAATGGAACACCTTTTTGTATAAGAGGCCTTGCGTTACATTCCAAAATATACCCCGGCCAATCCGATACCTGCATGTCCTTGGTTTTTTCATTCACTCCATTTATACCTAAATACAATAAATTCACTGTTCTTACCAATGTAAAATACATATTAAAAAATAATATGAGGACACTCTTCTGCTTAGCCAATACCCGATTGCATTGAAACATTCGATCTAACTGAGCAGAAAACGTACTAAAATTTTCAAAAGTTGAGTTCATTAATATGCGAATATCAGAAATTAGCGAGATCATTACCTATTATTCGTATTGAAGTAAAATAACGGTAAATATAAACTTTTGCCATTTGAAAAATAACGTCTGCTCTTAGGTCGCATTGAGTGATAGAGCATTCTGCATACAGCTTTCTCTTGAGCAAATATTGCTTTTTATACTGCGCATGTCTCCCATAGGAATATGTATGTATGTATGTTAGAGTATGCTCAATTACTCAATTCGAGTGAGTTTATTTGAGTTTCTTTGCACTTTTGTTAGCTGGTCCTACCTCAACAATGAATTAATATGTATCCGATATACGTGAAATTGTGAATATATAATTTAGAGGGAGGCAAAGAGGCACGATGTAAATGCAGCTGTGTAAACATTTGAGGGACATTACTCTCGAACTACCAAATTTTGACAAAGAGCAAAGGCGCAATTTGTTAGTGATGAAGATTTTTAAATGTTCACTGAAGAAAGACTAATTGTCATACTCATTCATTTAATTGTAATAAAAATTAAGGAATTATTAGCTTAATAAAGACAGAAGTTGTTTGAAGTGAAATTCCGTAATGCTCGTAGTATGCGGAGTAACTCCACTGTGAATGGGTGCCCGTATGTATTAAAAGTACATAAGTATTTATATGTTATATTTTTTTACTCTCGAAACTTAGTATACGTCCAATGGTTATATGGTACTATAAGAAAATTAGTTTTGTGAAAGCGTAGAATCGAAAACTATAAGAAACAAGTTATGATACGAAACGGCATATGAGAATTGAACATATTTAAAAGTGGGTTTAATATCCGTACCTCAAGACCACTAAAGAAGTATCCACCAAACTTGCTCGGAATAAATCTTTTTTGTACCACCTAAGACAGAGTGAAAATGGGTGATATCGGGAGATAGATAAATTCACCGAATCCCATACAACCGTTAAGTTAAAAATCCGCATAAATTTTAAGCTTTACATATCCCCAATGGAAAAAGTATAGCGGTGTGATATCACACGATCTTGGTGGCCAATCGAACGGCCCAACACGTAAAACTATCTGTACACCGAAAACTTCTCTGAATAAGAAACCACATGTCTTGTTGAAACCAAATGTCGCCGAGATCACGAACTTCAATTTCAGGCATAAAATAGTTGGTTATCATGGCGCGATAACGGTCWCCWCTGACGGTTACGTTCCCACCGCCATAATTTTTGAAGAAATATGGCTCTTGATTATTTTCAGGTTGATCTTTGCCCGAAACTCGGCAATTTTGCTTGTTCAGTACCCATTGAGCTAAAAATGGGTCTCATCGCTGAACAAAATTTGGCGTGAAGATATGTGGCGTGTGCTCGTAAAGACTGCATCTAAAAGCCACTGCTCAGTTAACATGGTTAACTCCCGCGTTTATCCTTTTGCCTCAGCCATAACTCGATTTTCCATTGTTTTTAATTTCCGCTCTTTCAGTATCATTCTTTTGTCACTGCACGAAATTGTTAATAAAATTTAATGACTTAGCTGGCGGAGACAGTTTCCGCCATCATTTTCGGCTTTGTGACTGCCACGACGTGCGTGTGTCCGTCAGTATATAAATTAACTCGCCGTAATGAGCGTGTCTCGTGCGCCGCCAGTTAGAAAAAATATCGCACATTAATGTCAGATCACGCTTTTGCTGCTGGGTGTGCGTGTGTGTGTATAAGAAAATAAAAACCCGCAAATGTAATGTAATAAGTAAAATGCTTGTCAGTTATTTACAAAAAGCAGGCACGTAATGACACCAGCCGAAGCCGAAGCCAAAGCCAACGCCGAAACGGCCGCACAACTGAATTTTCCCGCCAAAATGTGCGGTACCGTATGATTCTCTCCCACTCAAACATTGGCACGCGAARGGTAGTTGGGGGAGCGCGCAGGGGTATTCATATATGAATTCACACTTGTTTTGCCTCGGCAGAGCAATGACAAAGTTATGGGGTTTAAATGACATCAATCAGTGTGCAAAGCSAGCCAGATAAAGCTATGCCTACACACATACACACATAAAACTGGCGTGTATATAAACAAGCTCGACAAAAGTAAACAAACAAAAACGCATGTGCCTAAGTGCAACRACGAAAGTCCTGAATGGACGAGTGTGTCTGTGCCGGCGACTGAACTTGTTGCCACTCAAGGATTCCCAACTCACTCAGTCGCTCAGTCCTTGGAGCTGCCGGCACTCTGCGCCGCATTGAGCCAAAGAGCGTGATTTCCTGTGTTGCGTTGGACAAAGGTTTGTAAATAAAATGCGCGGCGTTTAGTTCCAAACAGTGTGCTGACGGCGGCAGTTCTTGTTTGGCATTGAAAGCGAATGCACGTGCGTTAAAGGATATGTGCGCTGTATCGAGTCGAAAGGCATGCAAAGGATTGCGGCATATAATGAGGTAAAACGTGTTAAAGTCGTGCTGAAACGTTGGTTGATTCGTCGTGGTTGATTTTGAAAGCGGGGCAATATTTAGGAGGGAAATGGAAACCAACGAGACACTTTCAAATCTCTCTTAAAAAAAAAAAAAATAATTTTCAGCTAGGAAAGCAAGGCTATATGTGATGTAAATAGCATTAGTAATAAATACAAAAATAATTACAACTTGCGGCATTGTGCAAAAAAGTTTTCAAGTGAAGTGTGGTGGTTGACATCTATACATATTTGAAAAATGAAGCCTAAAGTTGAAAACCAAAAAATCGTGTCTCTTAAACACTTAAATATTATGTGTCTAAATATCGGATGAAATAATTCCATACATTGAAAGCCCCGCAGTATAAATTCTAGTGTATAAGTGACCTACATCACATTTGGAATAATTTTGTAACATCAACATGCTATTGCTCCAGACATGATGCATGATCGTGATCGCCTAACAGTTTAGTAACGGCTGGTATATAGAAGTATTCAAAATTGTTAAAAATAATTGTATAAATAAATTTAGAATCATTAAAGAAGCTTATAAAAACTCATAGAAATGTGGAACATCAATTGTTGTTGCGGATATATCAAGTCAAGGTAATTGGGTCACCCTGTGTTTTGTTTTTTGGTGCTAATAACATTTACCCTTTTACTAACTTAAAAAAAATTGGTTGTAGCAACTTACAGGCACATTTGAGTTAATTAAAAATCTTTGGTTTTGCTTCAAGGTAGAAAACTGTTATCTTCGKAAACTAYACAAATTTCATTGKYGACTTGCGTGGTATTCTTCCCTTTTTTATACACAAATTTCAAAATATAGGAGAATTTCTTCATTATTTTCAATCATTTTTGAACAGCTGGAACTTTTTTCAACTTCCCCGAATTTAATTTTTTTTTGGTTAAGTAAAGCTTAAAGCTTTCCAACACTATACGGTATGACCCAATGTGATTGGCAGTACCTCAGATATATGACTGCAACTAAACTATTGACAAAATACGAAAAAACTTTTTCGACTACCCAATGTACATAAAGTATATCAAGCTTTTTATTGTTATTGTAGACTACTTTAACCAGGATTCATTCACGATTTCGCCGTTTTTTAATTGCCATTGGACAGCTTTTTAGTTGGAGAACTTTGCTGGTTCTAGGAACGTCTGGTAGATTTTTTCATCAAAATTTAGTCAGTTTTTGAATCAAAAACCTTTATGGGTTGTGTTTTAAGACATGAGTTAAATACCTTTACTATATTGCCAGGACATTTTCATAGTCTAAAACGGAAATTATTTTAAACCAAAACGTATGGTAAGTTCGATTTTTTTGAATCGGCCGCAAAACACGGGCAACTTTAAAGCAAAATCAAACCCATTTTTATCTCTTTTATCTCAGTGTCATTGATAGCGCTTAAGATTATTGCACATGCAGTATAAATATGACATTTTCCAGTCACTGACAACGCGAGATAAATAAAAGTTGTAAGCCTTTGCGTTCTACTTACTTCGATTGCTTTGCAAGTGAGAGTAAATGTTTGAAGTCATAGAAAGTTTGCCGAAGCGCATCATAACATTCTCATTATGTTGTACATATGTATGCGTGTGTATGTGCTCATGAGTATGCAAGTACAGTGCCACCGTTTATCGTTTGAGCGGCATTTAAAGTATAAAGCATGCATAACCCTTATTGCCAGGGTTGCATGCGGCGAGCATAAATGCGTGCAAATGCAGCCGATAAATATGGAAATCGTGCACATTTCTTTGGCCAGAACTTTTGCTTTTATTGCACTATCCAGCTGCGTGTATGTGATTTCCGTGCAAAGAAGCTTGTGAAACTGTTGTTTTATTTTTTTTTGTGGTTGCCACCCTGGTGTAGTAATTTAAATTATATAGGGTTTTGATAATCAAATAATAAGTTTGAGGAAGTTTTTAGTTTAGAAAATCGTGTTTAAATCATAAACTTTTAGAAAGTTAGTCGTTTCTTGGGTTCCTGATGCGATTTTTAACTTATGAAAGTAGTAATAAAAACAACACTCTTAATGTTAATTTTAAATTATTTTTTAAAGATAAAGAAAAGTTAAATTGTGTCTAATTCGTTGAAATAAAAGGAATACCCTCTCGATGCAATTCTGGTTTTCATGGATTCATAATTATTTTCAAAATCTTCTTTTCTTTAACTATCGAGAATAAGTGTGTCAGTGCAAAGTACGTGAAGAAGAGTATGAATCATCGGATATATGTACATATATCCTTATTACAAGTGCTGAGGGTTCCTAAGGTAGAAGGAATTTGCGTTCCCGAAGTCATTTCAACCTGCCATTGTTGTTGCCAAAGAGCTACTTCTGCGTTGAGCTTCGATTTTTGCAGTTACTTGTTTCCTGGCAATATTTTCCCAAAACGTCTAACTAGGCATACAATGAGTATAGTTATATATTTGTTTAACAGTTGAAACAAATTGAAACTTTAAAGAACTTCATCGGAAACTCGCGTTTTTAAATCTTGCATGACGGCGTAAATGAGTGGAATGTATGCAGAAAACCTGTAGAAGTCTTCACAGCTTTGAGATGGGTGATTTTTTCGACGACTCTGACGATAACGATATTTGCACTTCAATATCTAATTTTCAGCCATCTGTTTAACATTTGATAAATTTCATTAAAGTGATGACTAGCATTATTCTTCTTGTGTTCAGTGTTGCAGCCAATGTTGTAATGACGTTTGATGCTTTCGAAAGGTCGATTAAATCGTTCTGCAGAATCATACTWAGTGGCTGCGCCAGTGACAAAATATCACTGAGACAGAAAATTTCAAAAATAAACTAGAAATTACACAATGCATGACCAGATTCGACGCTTTTACTGCAGTTGTTATATTCTTCCATTCGCTTATTTYTGTCAGTGCTTGAACGATTTCTGGAAGGGCGACTGTGAATTGAAGACGGCTTCATGTATTGGTATGCACCTTGTATTACAAAGCTGTACAATTATTTTTCCTCAAGCATTTAGCTAAAACAATGTTACGTTTCGGTCTTGAAACTTGGAAAACTATCTAATCTCTCTGAACATTTCACATATGTTTTTGATTGAAGCAATTTGAACGGATTTCGAAATGCTGCTATTCAATTTATGAGAAAAACATGGCATCATATCAGCATTTGTAGCTTATTTTTGTATTTCCTTCACGGCTCCACGATCTCCCAACATAACGACGCAACCATCAGTAACGCAACTCCCATGAGTGAAATCACCTCGTGGTTGTTTTCTTCATCAGTATCGTAAGTTCACTAAAAGCGTCTATGAACGTCACAAAATGTCACTTGTGATGGAAAACCGGTAACTTGTATTATATTATTTTCGGTAACATTTTTAATTTAATTCTTAATTTTTTTGATTTCACTGAAAATAATGTACTCCCCGCAATTAACAACAATCGTTCTTTATAATCAGTGTGAACAGTGCCTAAATAATGTTCCATGTCTACAACATTGAATTTTTTCATCAGACTATAAACTTACGATTTTGAAGTCATGTTTCATAAAGAGTTTTTTTCCACCAAAATTTTTTTAAAAAGTTATATGCAGTTAAAGTTATGCAACAAATGTACTGAAGATTTATGCAAGTGAATTAAAAATTCTGTGTTGCTCATACGACATGGTGTACTATGTGAATTCATTACATTGCATGCATAACTTTAACTGCACATAACTTTCAAAGAAATATTTTAATGGAAAAAAGATAGGATAGGAAAAAAGGAGGTTTAGAGCGATACATTTTTTACTAAAATATCTTCGCTTCGAATTTGTTGGTGTATTTGATTTGGGAATTTAAGGCAAAAGAACTAAAAATTCTAAGTTGTTTAAAGAAAACATTACTACAGTAGAAAACAAATTAAATTTATAAAACAAAACATTATTATGATCTAAAATATATTGAACTCTGCCCCTTGCAGGAGTAGTGAACAAATACATACATGTCCCATAAATTTAATCATTTGCTATTTCAAAAGCATTTTGTCAGAAAAACTTTTCTGTTAACTTAAAGTATAATAAAATTTCCCATTATTAAGTTTCTGCAAAGAGTTTTAAGAATTAACCTGGTGAATTATGATTAACACAGTTCACAGATTTTTTATAAAATTGTAGTGGAAATCACTTTCAAATCAAACGGAAGGATATGAACCCCAATTCTCCTTCAAATCATAAAACTAAAAATTTAGAATGTTAAATGTCGCCACTTTCGTCGAAAAACCCTTTGAAAACTCATCCAAATTGTTTTTATTGTTATCAAAGATTTCCCGGCGAACCCCAATTGTGTCCAATGCTCGGTATAAAAAAGCGCACAAATTTACTGCTTTAATTTGAAAATTGATGTGACACATGAGTATTTGTCAAGTGCACAGAATACGAATCCTCAGCAATAAATCGCGCGAAATAACAACAAACAAAAACAGAAAAGCATTAAAAATTGCCAAAAACGAAGGAAAAACGCGCACCCGCAAGCGTTCTCAGACAACACTAGGAAAACCGTCTTTAGCATACAAGAAGGCGCTGCGGCGTATGCTTAGAAGCACTTCACACACACACACACACACACATGACCATACATGCACATCTGTTTTCATTAGCGCAGCGGGTTCTTATTCCTTATTTAGCGAACACAGAGAGAAGCGCACCGACACACACACACACACAAACACAGTTGCCCGCCAGTCGACGAATGCATACAATGGCCGTTGTGTGAGTGTCATTTATGTGTGGTGGTGCTCGTGCCAACGCCACGTTTGGCATTAGAAGAAAAGCCAAAGAAAGAGAAACAATTTGCTCTTATTTCCTTTCGCGCTGGCGCGGCAATTCATTTTTTATTAGGTAATATTTCAATTGCTTTGGCATTCGAATGGCGCAATGGCATTTCATTTTGCGGTTGCTTCAAGTACGCACGTGCGTGTGTGTGTGTATAGTTGGCCATTAGCTGACTAACCGCTCCCCTCAAT